AAAGAGCGATGTGTAGGACAGTGTTTATGCTCCGCTCCCAGCGAGGCTCTGCCTACAGGGGACACTGGAACAAGCGAGAAACTGACCGAAGTGGTCACTACAGGCTGGCGTGTGGGACAAGCGGGGTAGGCGGGAGCGGGACCTCGCAATGAGTCCTCCGTTACACCGTTCGATTTCCGAGCCATGTAAATATATCACTTATTCAAAACAAACAGCGATACAGTTTTTAAAAAGAGCGAGAGAAGTTAATTCAGAGGCAAAGAAAAAGAAGCCGGGACTCGGAGCTTTCGAACTTGCGGTCGATCTGAAAAGACCGCGCTGTCCCGGGCTCTGCCCCCGACGGCGAGCCGCACGTGTCTTACTTGTTGGCCACCAGGCGCATGACAGTCCAGTCCTTCGGGAACGTCTCCGGGCGTATCAGTATCCGGAACACGGTAAATATCTGCAGCAGGAAATCCTTGGAGGAGGAGGAAACAGACCGTTTTACTGAGTTAGCGTTGCCTGGCGGCACATGCGCGCGCACACACCCCACACACGCTGCGGCCACCATTCCTCAAGCCACGACAGAGAAGAAAGGGGACATTGTTCAAGCCTTTGACCCAGAGGGGATCAGCGCCCTTCTCGTTCTCGGCACCCGCTCGGCCTGCCACCCTTCCCACGTGTCCGGTCCTTTCTCCTTCTCACGCACAGTGAACATGACTTTTCATTTCTTTACACGAGCTCTAAAAACCTAGGCTTTAGAAATAAAGCGGAAAGCAGGCAAATTTATCCTCTTCTATTACCGTGCCCTAAACATCCGGACTTGTCAGCTCAAGAGAACTCCATAGAGTCCTGGGCCAGTTCTGCTTTCTTTTACGTGGTGTCAGAATTTAGAAAGTTATGCTCATCGAAAAGCATCTTAAGCAAAAACCCATGTTTCTTAGGGGGTATCCTGAAGGTGCAGTACTGACGGAATGCATGCGGGCCCATCGGATCCGAGTGTGCGAGGCAGAACAAATGCAAGTAAGAATGTGTGTTAAGCTGGGCCCAGTGACAAGTGCTCAGAAGCCATGAGGGTGTGAAAGCATTGTTTTTTTTAAAACTTATTTTTCGATTACAGTTCAGTGTCAAGCTCTTCTCAGAGATGCCGTCCCAGAGGGCAGTGCTATTTACTAAGTAGTTATCTTTACCCAGATCACCTGGACACACTCTTGACAAGAAGCTATTGTCAGATACGGAAATATCTCTGCTAAGAACATTGTAAGAGACAGGACCCAGGACGCTACAGGCACATTATACTCCAAAAGGAATCAAGCAGATAGCGGGGCCACGTGCAATGAATGAAAATGCAGCTTGTCCTACTCAGAAAAGATGGGCTCGATCTAGCTTTGATTGAGCTTGGAACACTGACACGTTTTTTGTAACCTGAAGTGCTGCTGGGAAAATACCTAACAATTTGATTGAAGGCAACAGTATGGTGTTACTTAAAAATAAAAAATTCTTCAAAAATTAAAAAAAAAACAACCCGAAACACAAGAGTTTTATTTATCAAACCCAACAACACATTATGTTAAACACGTAAACTGCTAGAATATAAGATTATGGCTGTCACTCAAATCATCGGAAGATAGAGTTCGAAGCTAAAACACTAAGAAACATGTGGTAGCATGTGTATGTGTGTGTGTGTGCGTGTGTGTGCGTGTGTGTGTGCGTGTGCACGCACGTGTGTGTTAACATACTCTCACGGCTCTGAACAAGCCCATACATATTTTGACAAGAACTTATTTCAGCTTCTTTGGCATCGATGCACACACGCCGATGTATGCACACCATGTGGGGACATGCCCACTAGGTCACCTCGCAAAGGCCAGACATACCCTGCTGTGTCTGCGGAGTCCCCAGAGACAGCTTCCCAAAGGCATTCTGCTGCGGGTCAGATAATTTGGGGAAACGCCGCATATTCTGGCCCTCCCCTGGGGTAGGTAAAGCTGAGAGGCCCTTTTTCATGTGTTTCTAAAATTTATTCTAAGCATTTTTCAGTCGATTCTTTTGGGTTTTCCAGGCATGAAGATATGTAATCCCTGAAAAAGCATTTACCTTTCAGAGTCATACCCCTCCTCGGTTTCCTATCTTGTTGCATTTGCTGAGATAGATGTTAAAGAAAAACCATGAAAATCAGGAGTCATTTGTTTTTCACAGGCCACGATTAGTTAGGAAAGGTTTCAATCAACTCTGCAGTACTGAGGTTTCATCTTTGCTCCTCAAATGGAATTGGAAACTGGAGGGAGTCCCTTTACCAATGGTGCACGTGTGTGTGTGTGTGTGTGTGTGTGTGTGCTGTGTGTGTGTGTGTGTGTGTGTGTGTAGAGGCAGGGGCAGTGTGCACGTGTGTGTGTGTGTGTAGAGGCGGGGGCAGGGTGCACGTGTTTGTGTACGCGTGTGTGTGTGTGCGTGTAGAGGCGGGGGCAGTGTGCACGTGTATGTGTGCGCGTGTGTGCGTGCATGTGTGTGTAGAGGCGGGGGCAGTGTGCACGTGTATGTGTGC